AATTGGTTAAAGATCCCAAACAAAATCAAAACCGGTCCGGTGGTTCTGTTACCACTGTCCGGACTGTGTGTAAACGCAGCCGCTCGAGTCACATAAACGACGACGAGAGTAGACCGGAGATGCTAATGTGCATTCCGACGGTGCAGCTTTTCCGATTTCAGCAGCGGAGGAATTTTCGCTCTTTCGCAAATCGTTTCACCTTCTCCGGGAGATTACTTTCAGATCCTCAAGCTCAGGTTTGTTCGCATATTTTGCTGAGAATTGAGAACCCACGAAATTTGTGAATTTGTTCAAGGGATAAAAAAAGAGTGTACGCGATTAAAAAGATACAGTTTTTGTTGTATCTGAGTGTAATCCAACAAGTTTTGTGAATTCCTGTGTACCAAAGATGAAACCTTTTTCTTCTTCTCTCAATGGAAAAACCAAACTTGAGTGTTGAGTTGTTGATTCTCTAAGCTAATTAGTAATGTATGAAGAACCTTTTTTGTACCTTCTTATCAATTTTTTTATTTTTATTTTTAGGCGTATTTGGATAAGGAGTGCACTGAGTTCTTACCCTGGTTAGAACGGATTGCTGGAGCCAAGATAACGGATACGCTTTCGATTGGGAAATCTACCTATGGCAGGTTGTGTGATGTTTTGATTAAGATCATCCAAAGTGTTTCTTTAGTCCATTTTTTTTAGTATTATATCAATAACTGAGCAGGTCGTTGTTGGCGTCAAAAGTTATCCATGCCGGGGACTGCATCTTGAAAGTCCCGTTCAAGGCGGTACATTGTTAAAAATTGAGTTATTTCTGTATTGTGTGGTCTAAGCAGTGTTGAAGAATTCAATACATGTTGGATAATCTTGTTCTAACTGAATTTGTTCAGCAAATAACTCCAGATGAGCTTCCCCCTGATATTAGAGTTTCATTGACTAATGAAGTTGGAAACATTGGAAAGCTTGCTGCTCTTCTTATAATCGAAAAGGAAAGGGGTCAAGTAAGCTCAGATCAACATTTTGGGTTGATTTAATTTCATACAAGTCTCCCCTTTTTTTGTAAGTGTTTTGGTATTGACTTGAGGCTATGATTGTTTCTTTCTGAGACAGAACTCTAAATGGGTCCCTTATATCAGCCGACTTCCTCGGCCTGCAGATATGCACAGCACGGTGAGAATTCACCCGGTCAAAAGTACGAGTCTTGAAAAATGCAGAATATTTACAATAATGGTTTCCTTATTCTCTCTAGATATTTTGGGGTGAAGATGAGTTCAAGATGATTCGTTGTAGCGCAGTTCACAAGGAAACAATAAAACTCAAAGCTCAAATAGAAAAGGAATTCTCACTTGTTGCACATGTAAGTATTTTTCTTTAGTGTTCATGATGAGCATTGGTTTCTGATGGAATTCTCACTGTTTTTAAAAGAGCATTTGCTGATGCTTTTTTTGAGAGAGAGGGTCTGATATTTACATACCGTAGTTTAGTAAAATATTGTTTGGTCGGGGGGGATTGCCTGTTTTCTTATGCTTCTATAGCGTTTTGCTTATGCATCCACGAGAAAGACATAGATCAAATAGGGTGAAACATTTTTGGTTTTTTTGTTTGGTCTTAGAATGAAGTTAGACCATTAGATTTTGAACCAACTTCTGCAAATCTAGACTCCAGATTATTTCACATGTATGTAGTGTATATTTGCTAGATGGATTTATGTGTGTAGCTTTTCTCCCATCCTAGTAAGGGTCTAAAATCATGATTTTTGGTGATTCTCAGGCATTTACGCAACATATTCCCGGGGTAATTAAACGTCCAGATCTGGAAGATTTCATCTATGCATATGCTTTAGGTGAGAAGGTTGCTCTACAATTGTTTTTTAGTTCTTCTCAACTATACGCAATCTCTCATTAGTCATTAGAAGGGTTCTCGATAATGTGCTGGTCCTCGTGTATATGACCTTCTTTAGTTGTTCAGACTTTTCTATTTGCTTAAATTTTGTTGTTGTAATCTTCTGTATCTTAATCTGGATAACTTCTTGGTGAATAGTGGGATCTCGTGCGTGGGAAATCGCAGAGGGCATATCTCTGGTATTGCTTTCAGTATAGTTCTGCATCTTTCTTCCATTTACTGTACTTACGGTGATTTCTGGTATGATAGATTTTCTGACCATCTAACAGATTCCATTTGCAGACTTCATGAACCACGATGGGCTTTCTGCATCAATCGTTATGACCGATGAAGACACCCAACTATCAGAGGTTTACTTCCATTCCTGTTAATTAATATTTTGAGTTATCTTCGTCTAGTGTTTGCTCACATCTACTTGGTATTCTATGTCACATTCATATTTGATACATCAGCTAGAGTAAGATGCATGTTCTTGATTCTGTGCTACTTTCTCTCGACTCTTAAGGCTTGCAACACAGTCTGAAACAAACCAGTACTTTGATTTCAAGTTTTCAACTTTGCAGGTGACTGCAGATCGTAACTACAGTCCTGGTGATGAGGTAGGATTATAACACAATGTGGTTCGCTTCGCATGGGATTCATTACTCTTTCATGTTACTTCATTTAATAGTCGCTACTCGCTAGTGCCTATGCCAGCGGCTGGTTGAAGACATGGGCTTTGAAGCTTTTCCACCAAACATCTCCGTGTAGGTGCTCATTAATTATGGAGAATTCTCAAATGCTACACTCATGTTAGATTTTGGATTTACCCTTCCGTACAACATTCATGACGAGGTTTGTTTTCTCTATCATGACCATATCCGTAACTACATTAATCTATAGATGTTGAGTTGAAGATGGCCACCCACCAACCTGATACTGCTGAGAGGTGATTTATAGGTTAAAATTCAAATGGATGTACCAAATGATGACCCTCTCCGCAACATGAAGCTGGGACTTCTCCAGAGACATCACACTCGAAGTGTCAAAGATATCAGTATCTTTCACTCTTCTTCTGATACTTTCACAATCAAGTAGGTCTCAATTAATGGTTACTTTTAGAATGTCACTAGGCCAATACAATCACTAGCTGTTTACACACTATCGATACAGGTAAACAAAATAAGAAAGCAGCTAAGAGTTATGTGAATTCTGAAGAGAGGATTGTAAAATTACCAAGGAACATTACTTTAGTATCAGTTTTCAGAAACAGAGGTTTTTGTAAATGTGTATCTGAGTCTAGTTTTGGTGCTCTCTCAGGGAAGTGAAATCTGCTAAAGGGAAAGGGAAGGGAATTCCGCAGTCTCTTCGTGCATTTGCCCGTGTTCTCTGTTGTACCATTCCTCAAGGTGCTCAAATCAGTACCTGTTACTCTCTTTTATCATCTTCCTGAGGCTAATGCCAAACGCATTAACAAGTATAATGATTTCTCAGAGCTGACTGATTTGTCAAAAGAAGCTGCAAATAATGATGGGCGACTAGCTCGGCTTCCCTTTATAGACGGGAGCAGAGAGTTGGAAGCACACAAGATCATCTTGTCTCATATCAACAGATTAATTGAGGATCATAGCGCTTGCATCAAGGTACCGTCAAAGGCTTGCCTCAGCTAATTGCCACATAATGACCGATAATGTCGGCTTTGATAAAGGTTATTGGGTGCTTTTGCAGGAAATGGAAGCATATACTTGCCATTTTGTATCACAAAGATTTGCAGTTAGAAGGCAGATGGCAAGAGATCTCCTCTTCGGTGAGCTTCGTGTTCTGAGATCTGCAGCTGAATGGCTCGATCATTATTGCACAAACTTGTTTTCAACACCTTAGATGAGTCTCAAGTGACACCCATAAAAACAAAAGAGCCTCAAGTGCCTATGAAGCCGATTTTACAATCTCTACAACAGCACTCATACCAAGGAATTGAGATATTGGTGTGTACTCAAAGCCAACCAAAAAAAATGATGAACATGCAGCATCAGAATTGTAAACCAAATAGCTGAAACGGAACAGAGAATTGTGATTTGTGAAATGGTGGAGGACAATAAGATTTTACTTGTTTCTTGTTGAGTTAGTTGATTGGTTACGCTCAGTACCAACTAAATCGGTTATTCATTCAGAATCTACTACTGGATTAAGAAGACGCACGCATAATAGCAGAAGAGAAACATATTGATAACCATCAGAACGAAGCAGCCAAACCTGCGTTAACTAAATTCATGCTAACTATAAAAATGTCATAAGATTAAAATGAAGAAATAGCTTGATATACAAAGGAAAGAGTTGTTTCTACGAAAGTAATGCAAAGTTTAGCTTTAAATGCATATTCACAGAGACTAGAGCAATGGAGAAAGCTGCAAATATCAGTTTCTTTGGTCTGAATACTGACCTCACCTCAGTTGTCATCGGTTGGTAAGGACACCAAAGGAGAGTTATGAGCATCTGGGTTCATGATATATATGCCTTAACTAAGTCCGTGTAATTGCAGACAAGCCCTGTCCTTGGACATGTGACTTTACCTTCGTTCTTTTCCGCCATTTCCTTAAGAGCCTGCAAATACATTACCCATCAAATAAAACACAAGTAAGCCAAGATTTAAAATTTTGAACTGTTTAGGATAGACTGATGTCACTGATCTAGCTCAAAACAAAAGATTCCAAAAAGAGAAAGAGAACAGAATCAAACCTTGGTGCTGTAGACGTAGCCATTGGGTAACACCTGTGGTGGGTTCTCTGTGTCCATTAGCTCCTTGGAAATATAGCAAACAAGCTTTGAATGGTGCTGCTTGGAGTACGGTAAAGGCAAAGCTAGCTTCCGGAAGCTCTCTTGTGAGAGCGGGTCCTCCTTGGTACAACCTTCTTCAAAACCATATCTGAGTCATGTCAAGGTACAAACGCAAACCACAATAAGAATCACGTTACGGTGCCATTTTGAAAAATTATTTTCTTCGCCTTTATTATCAGATGCAGAAAATAGACAATTAAAAACATCAATTTTGATAGAGTTTGATGGATACGGAGTTTTCAGTGCAGACAAGCCTGCTTGTAAGTAAATGTTCAATAAGGGCTCCATTGTCATGCCATATAGCTTGCAAAATTCTTGTTTAAACTGATGAACTAAAACATCCCACTGCCGTAGTTCAAACAAACCCTGAGACAAAAAGAGGCAAATCTGTAAGTTGATTAGCCCAAGAAATGCATTCAAATATCAATTCAGATTCAACAAAAGTTGGAAGTAGCGCAATTTATTCAGCCGTAAACAGAGACAAAAGAAAAATTGAAGGATTACTAAAGCAAACCTGGTATTAAAAGAGACACTGAAATCTCTCCGTTTTAAACGAAATCAATTATAGTAATTCCATACAGAAACGATACAAGAAATTCATCGTTGAAGAGCCAATGATTGGCTTTTGGAAAACGGGGTATATTACAGTTATAAGATCAAAAGAAACAAAACTTACCTTATATTTTGTGCATTCTGTAGTACTTTTAAAAGCCAAAGTGGCCACAACATGCTGCAATTCTTTCATATGGGTTGCTCCCCATGGTGCCACATGCTTTCGACCATAAAGGATCGCTTGGTTGTAGCTTTCAGCTCGTACCAACTCGATGAATTCTTGCAGCCTTAGTTGGAACTCAAATTTGCTCTGTCATAAAATAATTAGCAGTGAGGAGAGAATGGAAAGCAATCTTTGAAAATTTTCATAAAAAAATTATATGCGCATTCATGAGATGCAGACATACGTCCTTACAACCCAAACGTAGGTTACCTCTAGCAATCATGTGGCTTTGGATAGTTAGCAAGTATTCTTGTGATCAGTTTAATAAGTCTTTTTATCATATTCAGGATTTGGTTCACGTAAAAACTGAATGAACTTTAGACAAACCCGAGAAACTGAGTAGAGTTCATAAACAAATGAAAGTAAATCTTAACAATGAGGTACATATAGCATGCGCACCACATACCTTTGACTTTTTCAACCGCGTTTTATTATCAGCACACCATGTCAATGCAGAAGCAACCTCCCTATTTTTAAGGGCGTCAATCACCTTCTTAGCTTCTCGAAATATGTCAATGTCGACAAGGTCCTGAAAAGATGAGATGTTTATTATTGGCATTTCATAGAGACGCAGTACAAACCGATAAATGATTTTTCACTGCTTATAAAAAAGGAACAGACACAAAGATACAGTATTCTGCATGAAATTAAAAGTCATTAGAAATCAATCTCCAACTTATATTATAAATTCAGTGTCA